CTGAAGCTGAATGTGTTGAGAGTTGGACCTCTGAACTCACCACAAGCACGCTCAATCACAAGTGAAGGAACTTCTGTGGACATAATGTTAAGAACTTTATATGCTGATGTTTTTTCTGGAGTGGGTAAATTGAAAAATTTTCAGCTTAATTTGCATGTGAACAAAGATGTTAAGCCTGTTGCACAGCCTGTCAGAAGGTTACCCTTTGGTTTAAGAGACAAAGTTGACAAGAAACTAGACGAATTGCTTAAAGAAGACATCATCGAGGAAGTGCCTAGTGGTCCAACAGAGCGGGTCTCACCTCTGGTGGTAGTACCAAAACCTGATGGAGACATACGAGTCTGTGTGTATATGAGAAGAGCCAACGAGGCAATCGAAAGAGAAAGGCACCCTATTCCCACTATTGAAGAGGTTGGTTCTACATGACTTAAATGGGTCAACAGTGTTCAGTAAATATTAGATTTAAAGTGGGGCTTCCACCAGGTGGAACTTGAAACTGAATCACGTCGTATTACAACCTTCATTACACACCGAGGTCTTTTTCAATACAAGAGGTGAATGTTCGGAATTACCTCAGCTCCTGAGAAATACCAGAAAATCGTCAAAGATATATTGATTGGCTGTAAAGGAGTTGCAAATAATTTTGACGACCTGATCATCCATGGATGTGGAATCAAGGAGCATGATGAGAATCTGCTAGCTGTTCTGTGCCGTCTTAGAGAACGTGGATTGACTCTAAATGAGAAGAAGTGTCAGTTTAGACTTCCAAAATTAACATTCTTTGGACGTGATTTGAGCAGTAAAGGAATCGCTCCTAGTGAAGAGAATGTCTGCAGTTCAAAACGCTAAGTCTCCACAGAGTATCTCAGAGGTCAGATCTTTCTTAGGCCTTGTACTGTCACGGTGTTGTGCCAAGTTCTTGCCAGATTTTTCCCAAGTTGCCGAACCGCTCAGAATGCTGACGAGAAAAGACCAACAGTTTATCATTGTGGGAAGATGCATGTTCAGCAGAAATCCTTCCAGAAACTGAAAGATTTGCTAACCCGGGTAGAAACACTTGCTTACTTCAAGAACGAATGCAGGGCACGCATTGTTGCTGATGCTGGTCCCACAGGCATAGGAGCTGTCCTCACTTAGCCACAAGTTGGCCTGTGTAGAGTAATTTCCTATGCATAAAGAAATCTTACTAATGTGGAGAGGAGATATTCCCATACGGAGAAAGAAGGCCTTGCCTTAGTATGGGCCTGTGAGAGATTCAAGCTGTATGTTTTTGGTCGAGAGTTTGAGTTGGAGACTGACCATAAGCCTTTGCAGTGCATTTACAACAAGTCTTCAAAGCCGTCTGCACGAATAGAACGATGGGTCCTTCGCCTACAGGGTTACAAATTCAAAGTTGTCTATCGCCCTGGTAAGACAAACATCGCAGATGCTCTCTCAAGATTAAATTCTGTGAATCAGAAAGATTGCAGATTGCAGATTGCAGATTGCAGTGGTGAGAAAGCCGACTTCGTTAGAGTACTTGCACAAGAAAGTACACCAGTAGCTATGACTGCAAAGGAAGTAGAAAGAGAATCAGAGAACGATCCTGAACTGTGTAGTGTTAGGCACTACATACAAAGCGGTGATTGGGCACAGTGTAAAATGCCTCTCTACTTGAGTGTGAAGAATGAACTTTGAGTGCTAGGAAAACTAGTGATGCGCGGAACAAGGATTATAATTCCCCAACGCCTCCGAAGTGAAGTACTGTACTGCGCTTAGCACATGAAGACCATCAAGGAATTGTGAAGGTGAAAAATCGGTTGCGAACCAAAGTTTGGTGGTCCAAAATAGACCACGATGCTGCACAAGTCTGCAAGAGTTGTCATGGATGTCAAGTAGTTCGAGAATTTTGTGCACCTGAACCTATGCAGCGGATAGAACCTCCCTCTGGGCCATGGCAAGATGTAGCAATTGATGTCTTCGGTCCTCTTCCTTTTGGAGAGAACTTGCTTTTAGTGGTTGACTACTGAAGCCGTTTCTTTGAAGTAGTTATGCATTCAACGACTTCGCGGAAGATGATAGAAGCGTTAACGCCAATCTTTACACGGTATGGATAACCCTTCAGCCTTAAGTCTGACAATGCACCGCAGTTTGTGTCAGAGGAATTTGAAAACTTCCTGGCTACACATGGCATCCAGCACCGGAAATCTCCACCCCTTTGGCCTCAAGCTAATGGCGAAGTTGAGCGCCAGAACAGAACTTTGCTAAAATCACTCAGGGTAGCTGAAGTAGAAGGGAAGAAATGGAAAGATGAATTGGATAAATTCTTGTTGGCCTGTAGAACCACCCCTCACTGTAGCGCAGGGGCAACCCCAGCATTCCTCATGTTTGGAAGAGAGTTGAAGACAACGCTTCCAGAATTGCGTCCAAACAAAAGTGTTCTTGATGAGAGCACGAGAGATCGTTACTGGAATCAAAAGCGTGCAGGTAAAATGTATCGTGACAAACAAAGGCATGCTGTCGACAACCCAATTACACCTGGAGACAAGGTTCTTCACAAGAACACCAAGCAATCTGGAAAGTTAGCTGCTAATTTTGATCCCAATCCTTACACTGTTCAGACAAAGGAAGGGCAAGAACTAACCATCCACGACTGAGCCAAAGAGTAGACCGTCTCGAACTGTACGGATGCCAGCTAAGTTTAAGGACTTTATGTTGGATAAGTGAACAATTTTGAGAGACAGTGCACTCTTAGGATTGTTTATGTTCCGGATAAGTGAACAGTTTTTAAAGACTATACTCCGTTTAGACTGTTTCTTGGGAGTTAAATAGACTTAAACTTCGTCTCCAAGGTTTTCACTTGTCAGACAACGAATTCGGCTCTCCCTTGGGGTCAAAGCAAGGAAGGCCACGGACTTCCAGGATCTGTTTTGCACTCACCCCGCCTGAGTTGGTGGACGATGGTGCGCTTGAGTTGCTTTCTTGTTCTTCGGGTGTTCCAGTCGCGGGCATGATTTCCTTCTCGATAAAATTATGTCACGAATTCAATCTTTGAGCACTTGGAAAATTATCCTCGTCGCCAAATGTAATGATGGCCTGTTAATACCCAGATAAGTGCAGATAAACTCAACGTTTTATTTAATCTACACTAGCGAGCACGCCATGTTACAGTACCATGATTTTTAGCACACCGATAACTCTATATAACAGTAACGAAATGTCTAAACACTACAGCAAGGCACCAGGAAAATTGAACCATCATCAAGGCAACTTTACCAGGGTCATTGTTTTCATGTAACACCAAATTCATAGGAATGGGCTACAAAAGGAATCTCTGCAAACAGATTAGATGCAAAAATTGTTTTCAAAAAATTTTTAGAACTCGTACCAGTCATAGGTATTAAGGTGCAGTTATTGCCATCGTGAATTTTTGTCTATGATATAAAAACAGACACAAGTAAAAGGGAAAAAAATTTTGTTTTGTTTTCATGTCGGGAGCACTGACAAATCTGTGGTGTCTTCACTGTGTTACGTGCACGAATGACCAACAAATGTCCGATAACAAAGCATATATGAAAATAGACTCCCGAGTACGATATATGGCACGCAACAAAAATGTAACAACAAGCAGTTACCCATTTTAACTATTATTTGATTAGTTTTACATTGTCTAATTGACTTAGGTTAAAGCTTAAGTTAAGCAGTTCATAAAGCAGGCTTACAATCCTTCATGCCGTGTAAGTGTACGTCGTCTTGATCAACTTCCCATTCCAACATCCGCCGACTGAAGACCACAGCGCTTGGCTTTCTTGATTTATCGCATTCTTTCCTTGTACACAAATTCTTCCGGAGGACTCCATAGTAAACTCTGTATTCTCTATCTTCTTCCTCTCTCGACTATCGTCTTCTTCATCTCTTTCTTCTCTCGGGATATCGCAAGGTCAAAAGGTCATAGCCTGGTCAAATCATAGCTTCCACAAGTTCAGTCAGCAAGCCACGAGGGTAAGCCCTCGGGCAAATCTCTTTTGTACTTCTCACAAGCCAGCTTTTATACATTTACTCTAGTTATCTAGAATGTTCTATTACTATTTATAGCGTATTACAAGTTGTACTATTTTTGGAAACTGCTGAGTCACATGAAAGAAGTTTCTGGAATATTACAGATTATAGATAATTCTAGAAAAGTCTGGGATTGCGTGACAGATTCAGTAAAAATAATTCGATCCTCGTAACAACTGCCAATATTAGCCTCTAGATTTCACGTCATTTTTTTTTTGTGTCATTCATGTCCTGAGCAATTGCAAGTGTCAGGAGAGCGCAAGGAGTGCTCAAGGAGTATGCAAAGGTGGAGTCACAAGTGAGAAGACGTGCAGCAGCACGTGTCTCCCTTCCACAGCTTGCACTGTGATTGCCTCCTCTCCCCTGAAAAATACTAATTGTCATCTACCAATTTTCAGAAAGGAGCAAAAAAATGGCTTCAAGACACAAAGTGTGAGTTCAGGATGTTTGTTGACCCAGAACGTCAGCTGTACAATGCACTTGGTCTGAAACGCTCTGTGGCTAAAGTTTGGAGCATCTCTGCCCTTATTTACTATGCAGAGCAGAAGCGCGCCAATAGGAAACTTGTGGCCATGTTTGAGGAAGATGACCCCACCCAGATGGGTGGAGACTTTGTTTTTGATAAAAATGGTAAACTTGTGCTAATCCATCGCAGCAAGGTCTCAACAGACAGGCCCTCGGTAGAGAATCTCCTGGAGTGTGTTAGGGATCTTAGTGCATTCAACACTGAAGAGGGCAGTTAAAGTGACTCTGGCACCTTGCCATTAAGACTTTAATTTTATGTGTTTCTGCTAAGCAAGAGCGTCAGATGGGCCATCTTGTTAATAGACCCATTTCTCACGATAATTTAGTTTGTTGTTAGTGCCATTTTTATCTGATCAACTACTTCACGAGGAACCTCTCTCGAGCATTTTGCTAATTGTCACTAGATTACAGTATTATTCGTGTGCTTAGTTTATTGTAGACGCGGGAATATCCAATATCATGATTAGAGGCACGTACAGTTCATAAGTACATAGAAGCTGAGAATGATTGCTTTGACTGAAACAGGTGATGAAGTCACTGCCGGAGGAAGACGCTTCGTATATGAGCTGTTAAGCTAAAAAAGGAAAAAAAAAGTAATATTTCTTTTAGCAGGTATTCACTATTATAATTTTAGTCATGTATGATAAGCAAATACAGAGCGCAAGTAAAGTATTGTACTCGCTGTATCGTGAGTAAATCGAAATTCTGTTCTGTGAGTTTGAAACTGCCACCATTGAAAGCATTTTACAGGGTTCGACACCAGTCTGCCTGCATTACTAGCAACCGGGCAAGTGATTTCTAAAATTTGCTGGCCTGTTACACAACTTGGTAGCCCGGATCAATTTCCCTCGAGGTTTCCTTCATTCCCAAACACGCAAATCTTCCTCTAAACTTATTGGTCTTTTAAAATGATGAAGAATGGTGCAATGGCTTCAAGTGCGAAGCGTTGATAGGGAGAAGACTGGGGAAGACATTGACCATTAAGCGTAGAGTCTGGGATTTAGCGATGTTTGCGATCGACACGCAAGACATAAAAGGACGCCAGAAGATGAAAGGGTTATGCCTTCTTTATTGGTATTATCATTACAATTTAAA